AGCCTTTTCTATGAGATAATACTAGTTTTCTCCCATCTACAGCGGGGTCCAAGAGGCTGTCATATGGCGCAGGCTTGGTTTGGCAGCACAGCATATACTCCTCCCCTAATAGCCTTTCAAGATTTAATAGAAAGAGCTAAAAGAATGTATGGCTTGTCTGTCTTATTCTGAACTCTGATGTGATAGGCAAGTTCTTTCATTTATGCTTTGCTTTCAGAAAGAAAGGCTGACTTCCTTGAGAAAAATCAAGAGCACCACTCAACTACATCACAGAGTAAGTAAAAAAAAAAGATACCTAGTCTTTCCCTGTAATTAAGTGAAAAGTACAGAATTCTTTTCCTTTCCTCTGCTTATGGTTTTTCTTGAGCTCTGGGACACTCTGTCTGGGAAGGTGGAAAGGGACCCAGGAGGCAAATCCAAATGGAAGCTGGAGAAGGCAGGACATGCCAGAGCCCTTCTATGAGGTTATTCAACTTGCTGACCACAGAAAATGACCCACTTTTTCTTTTTTCTTTTTTTTTTTTTTCTTCTTTTTTGGCTGAGTTAGGAAATGGAGTTGACTCATGGGACAATCAGTAAGTGCAGAGCATGTACTACTAGTGGCATTGGGGTGAGCTGAGGAAGGGAACAAAACCTTCACCTTTTGGTAGCAGTGAATGCTAGATTAGTTTGTACACATCACCTTCCCTTCTAGCCTTTCCCTGAGTAATGGTGGCCTGCTATGATTGAATTAGTTGTCTTAGACTCCTGGAGAGGAGCAGCTTTGTTCTTTGCTGGTAAACTCCAGTCTGTTTGTCTAATGACCAATTCCTTGTGTTTCAGATTTTTATCTTTGGTTGTTTTTGTGGATTTGTTGGTTTGGGTTTTTTTTCTCCTCTTGGAAGAGTACTTGAAGAGGGAAAAAAAATGTTCTGAATTCTTAGTAGCCTTCTGTTCTTAATGTCTTGGCACTTGTTTCTATCCTGAACAGGTATAGCTAAACAAAGTCTTGTAAATCAAAATTCAATCCGGAGAACCTGGGGGAGGTTTGTTCGAGGTTTTTTGGTGGGTTGTGTTTTTGTGGGTGTTTGTTTGTTTGTTTTTTGGTTTTTTTTTTGGTTGGTTTTTTTTTTTTTGAAAACCACAGTGCCTTCTGGAAGAGAAGCTCGTCTTGTAGTAGCCGCACATCTGTGAAACGCCTTTGAAAAATGAATTGATGCTGGGAGTTCTTGCTAGTCTGGTACTTTTTCTTTCCTGTCCCAGAGGTGATAGGTGCTGCAGGAGTGACCAGTTTGGTGGTGGGTGAAGAACTTCGGAAAATCACTTGAAAATCTGAAAGCTCTAAGGTGTCTGCCGGAGTTAGGCATTTTGAGTTAGGCAAGACAAATAATTTGCTTGGCCTTTGTGCAAATTGTGTTGTAAATAAGGCAAGATTCTTAGGTAGGATAGGATCTGTTTTTAGACTGTTTATTGAAATATTTTTTCCTTTAGGGTATGAATCATAGCTGTCTCCTAAATATGAAACCTAGTCTCTGCAAATAGGGCTACATTGTAAAATATTACAGAATTGAAGTGATTTTGATCCGTTAACTATGAGAAGACTATATAAGCTTAGTTACAAGCTCCATGTCTGTGCCCTATTGGGGTGGGGGGTTGAAAATACAGAACAGTGTAGCTCATTAAGCAGTTAAGCTCCAGCTTAAACCAGAGCTGTTTTTAGCACCTTCTGTGATTTACATTTATACAGAAACAAGGTTATAGGATTTATTTTAGTGTTTTTGAAATAACTACTGCAGGGTGTGTTTGTTCAGTTTATTCTCAATAGTGCCATTGACAGTATCCTGATTTGGTTATATATTATTAAAGAGCCTTCAGCTTTGAACCAGTTGCTGTAGTTCACAAGGAGCCAGAAATTCTCGTGTCTTTTTAATTAACTGACTAAATGCTGAAAACATGCTGACCAATAATTGCACTGTATATATTCATACTGGTCTCTTGGGAAAGTTGTTCATAACCCTCTTTTATGGATAATGTCTCTTGTACTTCGCTGTCTGAGCCCATTTAAATAGATAGACCAAAAGTATATTTTGAAGTTGAAAGCTTGCATTTTGTTCTAAAAGCACAATTCATCCCAAGAAACTGACTGCTGATGAAGCAGGCCTCTGACCCAAGCTAGATGGAGAGGGAATATGAGACTATGCCTTTAACATACCGCTTTGCTTTTGCTACTTACATCTTGCATTATGTTGTTTTTCTAGTATTTGTGTTAATGGAGCGTCCATTTTTCTGTCCTTCAAATTCTTGAGCAAAGTCAGGAAACTTAACTGGGACATGGGATCCTTGTGCAGAAAATAACAGGTGGTTAAAACTCTGTTGTTTTGTCATCTTGTACTTTAAATGACTCCGTTTTTATTTCTGTAACTTTTCAAGAGTTAAAAATCTTCCGGGGTGATTTGTGATAGGTTTGGGACTTGTGCTTTTTATGCAAGATTCTCAAGATGGCTTAAGAACTGACATTTGGCAAATAGCGTATATGGAGAGTTGGTCTGCCAGTTGAATGAGACTTCTCAGGCTAGTAATAGTGGTGAATGTGTCATTTTCCTTGCTCAAGACAAGCCTTGCTTGAGCACGGGAGGGTGAATGAAGAGAACAGAAAGCCCCAGACTTGATACAGCCTTACCCAGGATGAGGTCACAGTCTCACCTTTGCTCCTACTTAGCAGGCCTGCATTCGCTTCAACAGGGTTTTATGCAAAGGTGCTTTGTTAACCTTCCTGTAAGCTTCGTAGAATTTTGTGTGTAAAAGCATAACTAAGAACAGCTTTTTGTTGAAAATAATGCAGTTTGATTTCAACTCCCTGCTATTTTCCCCACTGGAAGATTGGTTATAATTGTTGTCTTAGTATTTTTCTCACGTTCCTTTCTTAATCTCTCAACAGGCAGAACTAAATTTCGAGATCAGCCCAGTATAGGGAAGCAGTCACAGCCTTTGGCCACAAGTAAGACTTCTGCTTTCACTTCTATTTCATGCTTGTGTTACATTTAACCATTTTCATGCCTGTCCAAGTACTCGATTTCCTGGTAGCTGGTGTTAAACTGAGGGTCCTTGCCAGAACAGATGACTTGCTTGCTAGGGCATGTGTTTTCAGCACGAAGGAAGGGTGTTGTATAATAGGTAACAATTCCACCTGAATTTAAGGTCTTCCATCTATAGTGTTTACAAGATTTGCTGCAAGATTAAAACTGAGGCAGACCTAGTGGTGTTCTTATTTAACAGTTGTTGTGTTGCTGTCCTGCTAAAAATTAGGATATAAAAAGGTAGCATAAGGTATACAGTTCTTTCCTGTTTCCAGGGTGGTTGGTATATTTTGCCACTGATTTTACTGGGAACAGAATCAAGCCTTATGCTCGTAGTAGGTCAAACAAGTGTTAATTTAACTGTTAAAATACAAAATCAAATCAAAATATCTGATACTCTATATGCTTCCTGTGCACTGTTTGCTGTGTGTACTCTTTGTGAAGCTGACTGATCCAAAGACCACAAACGTTTTCTAATAGTGTTGATCACTAGTGTCTAAGATGCAAATACTGCTGCATCCTATGAACTATTTTCATCCTTATGGGGACAGGGAGGAGAAATAGCAACACAGAAGCAATTCTGGCGATGCCAGGTTTTGTATAGGGCTTTTTCTGCAGAGCCTAAATGTGGGGAAAAGCTTGACTTTTTCAGAACCATTTTAAGCTCTTAGTTTGGATTTGATTAAATAGAATGGAGTATTGATAAACTTTCAGAAGAGCTCCTTTTTCAGAAGAATGTCCAATTGCTTAGTCAAGCTGGCAATGCATAAAAATGTCCATTTTTTAATGCTGTCGCTTCACTGAGTTGCTAAAGAGGTTCAAGGTGGTTTTGGTTGTTTTTTAACTAGAAGATCTTCTTTATGCTCTTCAACTACTGTACCAATAGCTTGAGAGTGGGATGAGAGTTCATTGAATTCTACTCTTTTCTCTTATTTTCCTCTCGCTTGTTGACTTCTGACTCCTTTTAAAACATTGTTTTCTTCTGTTTGCTCCTCCTTTCAATAGATGATGGTGAATTGCAGAGTGGATTTCACAAAAGCTGGACTTTGTTACTGGTTCTGTTAATTAGCATCCCATTGCTTTATGTCCTGTGGAGTGGAATGCCAAGTCTTCTAGATGCAACTTTGTCAAGTAGAGATACTCAAATTTTGGAAGCGTTTCGGGCTCGGATGAAGAAACTAAAAAATACTTACCAAAGTCAGGACCCCAATCTGTGGAAAAGAACCCATGTGTTCCTTGAGAAACATCTTAATGCTTCTCATCTGCATTTGGAGCCGGCCATCTTACTGTTCACAGCTGGCCAAGAAGCTGAGAAAGCGCTGAGGTGCCTAAGTAATGAGATTGCTGATGCTTTTGCCTTCTCCCAGAATGCTACTACAATCAAAATTAATGGGGCAGACAAAGCCATATTGGATAGTGACATTGTCAAGCTGGAGGTAGATAATGAGCTCAGCTCTGGGTTCAGAGAAGGCAAGAAGGTAGCAGTGGTGCATCGATTTGAGTTACTGCCTGCAGGCTCCACCTTAATCTTTTACAAGTACTGTGACCATGAAAATGCAGCATTTAAGGATGTGGCTCTTCTGCTGACAGTTCTCCTGGATGAGCAGTCCCTAAGAAAGAGTCTCACATTGCAAGAAGTTGAGGAGAAAGTCCGGGATTTCCTCTGGGCGAAGTTTACCAGTTCAGATGTTCCTAGTTCTTATAACAGCATGGACACAGATAAGCTGAGTGGACTGTGGAGCCGTATATCTCATCTTGTGTTGCCTGTTTGGCCTGAAAAGGGCCTCCCTGTGGAGGGATGCACATAAAAGTTACTGGAGAGGACTTAGGAAAGGAGGATGACAGAAAATGTATGTTGTAATGGCTGAACAGGGAAGAACTTACTGTGGCTGCTGAGCTCAGACAGCATACAGTCCTTTCTGTGCAGAGAAATTCCACCAGCTACCAGGGTTGTTTCTGCTAAAGTAACTGGAACTTCTCTAAATCAACTGCAGAATGTAAGCAAGGAACTTGCTGGTTGTTGGTAAGTTGTGTTCAGTGACTTATTCAGGCTTGGTGTCCTGGAGCTGGAAGTAAGTGCCCACTAGTGCAGAACCACACATCTGCTTCTGAAGCTGTCTTGGTGCACTATTGGCTTTGTTATGAGGATCCTTTTCTGGTGGTGCATAAAGCTGGTATTGCGTTTGACAAGGTAATAGGATGCAAAAACATCACCTTCATCTGCCAGAATTGCTTGCTTCTAACATAAGAAAAAACATAAACTGAAAAAGATAATAAGGTGATTTGAGTCTAAGCACAAGCTTTTTCTTGATCCTTCGGATCACAGCATAGATGTTAGCTGTCTCTGGTGACTTGTAGAAATGGCTAAATTGCTTGAAAGATTTGTGACTTGCAGAGGACCTTTCAGCAAGCATTTCTTCCTTAAATGAGCCTGCCCCAGACAGTTTTGGAGAGTGAGAAAAGCCAAGGTACAAAGGTTTGCTTAATGTTAGTTGTACTGATGTCAGTTAAATAATCCCTCAGCACCTCTTTGCCTCGCTGCTTCCAGGAATTCTCAGCTCTTTGTCAAAGTTCTGCAAGTCTTAAAATTTGGGGGACACTGATAAAATGTCAGCTCTGTGTGTGTACTATCTCCTTTCCAAACAAAACATTAGGAAGACATAGGTTATTTCTCATTTTAATAAGATAATTATTTTTGCATCAAGAGATTTTATTTATTTGTGGTACTCGGTATCCTAGAAAAATAACCTTTCTTCGTGTGTCTGCATATAACCTGCTGCTTGCTGTATAAGCTTCTAGTGAAGAACAGATTTGCAATGCATGTTTTTAAAATACATTTTTTAGCATGCCTCATGCTGAGAATCCCTCACAGCAGACTAAAAACATGTACTTGTTTCTATTGTAAGTATTTTGTGTAAAAAAAAAAAAAAAAAAAAGAGAAAATTGCAGCACTTCCATTTCATTGCTGTTAACTGTATGCTCTTGAACTATTGGTCCATGTGTATTTGGTTTTATTGCATATGAAGGAACATGTGAAGACTGCTCTCAAATTAATGGGATGTTTTCTTATAACAGCTGAGAGATTAGTGGCTCTTGGACCCATCCTTTATTCACAAGCCCCTTGAGCTGTCCTGTTGCAAAAAGTCCTTCTTAACCAGGAATACCTCTTGAGGTGCTGGAGCTTCTGGCTTTGTGCAAGCAAAGGTTTGGGGTGTTAAGTGGAATGGACCAAAATCACCTTAAGCATATAGAAGAACACAGTATGAGAAACACAGAGCTGTAGTTGCTTAAACCAGAGGTGGATTCGTTCTAACCACTGAGGGCCAGCAAGGTGCAGTGCTTTTTATTTTAATGGGAAGAAATAGAAACAGTAAAAAGACATGGAATTGCTGCTGTTCTGGATGTTTAAGGATAGCTCAGGAAGGAAAAGATGGCATTTACATTTTGGACATTTCACTGGACAAATGTTTTTTGAAAAAACAACTGTGACTTATTTCCAGGTGTGTCCTGATAGCATATTTGTTTGTATATTATGTAAACTATTTTAGTAATCATTAAAAATAAATATACTTTTTTGTTTTATAAGCTGTTTTAAGATTTGCCCATTGAAGTGGTCAGACTTTTTTTTTACATGTTTAAGATTGTTCCTTTTACCTTTGACCAAATACAGACGCCTAAAACACAACCTTTTGCAAAATTTAGAACTTTTTAGAGTGGAGTAGTAGATACTGGGATGCAGATGCATGTATTTGATAATATCAGGGCTTTTCTCTAATAGGGAACATTTCAGGAAATTGTAATAGCTCTGAATTGTTTTTTACTTGGTGTTCTTGTACTAATTCCTCAGTTCTGATTTCAGCTGGAACTAATGATAAGATATGGTTCGCTTGTTTCATTAGTCTGACACAAGAGTCAGCAGCTGACAAAAGGGATGACTTCATTCTTGTTCCACTCCTAGCTGCATGTTCCTGTACCTCTGCTGTTGCAAACTAGTGCACTGTGAACTGACTGGAGGGACAGCCTTACTAAAAACTAGCTTAGAAAAAAGGTATATAATTAGCAGAATTGGCAACCACAAAAAAAGACTGTTATGACATGAAGGCAGGAGATTCCATGCTCTTATACAAATAAAACATATGTAACCCAGGTTTTTTTTTTTTTCTAAAACTCCCCCCCCCCCCCCCCCCCTTTCAAGACAAAATAGGAAGGTGCCTGGAAACTAAAGACTTAATGTTCTACTTAATGTTGTGCCAGACAAAGGAGAATCACTTTGTTGTTGTTAACTGTAGGGAAAGTGAGGTGTATTTCCAAATATATGGTGTGCTGCTTGGTCTGGAAGAATCAAAAGCAAGATGGTATATACAGTAGCCCCTTCTGGAGGAGGGGAAAGGTTTAGGATTAGAAGACTGTTCCTGCTCTTGAAGTAGTAGGTCCTTTTTGTAGCATTTTGTGGCTTTGTCCTTAAAAGGCTCTCATTAAATATCCACAGGTACTTAATGCAGATCTCATTAAGTAACTCCTCCTCAGCCAGAGGTGAAGAGTAATGTCTGTCTGTGTTGCTCACAGGCAGCTGATTACTATCCTCCTTGTATAATTATTTCATTGCCTGCAGCAAACATAGCCATTTGATGTTTTCCAAACTGTTAAATACTTTGCCTTCTTCTAGACAAATCTCACTTCTGAAGTTGAACTGTCCCTAACTGTCAGCAGATTGGCAAATTAAATAGTCTGTGACAGCAAAAATGTGCTTACATGGAGCGAAGACACCAGGTCTGGCCTTGGGACTGAGAAGGGGATATTTCTTCTTCTGTGGGCTTACAGCATACAAATTTTGGACAGAACACGATCTTTGGGGAGCTGAAGCAGCTACACACCAATTTGCAGACAAAATTTCCAGTATTCTGCAAATTGGACTGGAAAACGCTGTCAGACTGTGCCTTGGGTTGCGAGCAGACACCTGCAGCTGGCAAGAATCCCCTTGCAGGTAGCCAGCCCAGGCAGAAGGTGGAGCGTGGCCCCTCTTCTGCTACTCCTGCTGTTGCCTTTGAGCACCTGGAGGATGGCAATACCTATATTGTCTTCACAGTGGATGTTGTGAAAGGGACCTAGAACAATGTGCAGCCCTGTCTGTTGTTACCTTGTCTCTCACACCCTGCTCTGAGTCACATTGCACTGAGCAGTGGAGTTCTGAGCATGCTAAGCAAGCAGGTTCGTTAAAAGGGCTACTCTTTTTCCCCCATTTTTTCACACCAACGAAAGCATTTGCTCATTTTCCACAAATGAAAAAAAAAAAAAGGGTATTTGGTTTGAACTAATAATTCAGCTCAAACTGAGTGCAGAAGGCAAGGTGAGCTCCGTGTTAAGGTAGGCATAAAAGTATTTGCTGTACAGATTGTAGCTGTACACACCATCTGCAGTGCAATCGCCAGCATGCTGTATTTAGGAAAAAAGAATCTGGTTTTGGAGGTGTGTAATGATACATAAACAACTTGCCCGATTCTGTGCTGAGACCTTGTAGCACAGCTGGAAAACTATAAGAACAAATCTGAAATGATCCCTTTATTTTATAAGCCCAAATCAAGCACAGAACAATTTTTCACGCATTGTTTCTGCTGTAAGACAAACTGCAAAACTAGGAGGAAGAAGAGGTTTGTGTGTGTGTCCTGTGGTCCTCACAGCTGTCTTGTGTCTTGTTTTATTGTCAGCTCCTGACAGTTGGATTTATAATTGAATACTTGGAAAACCTCATTCCATGTCCAACAGGTGGAAGCACCCTTCCCCAAATTCCTCCATGGCTCTTGGGAGCCATGTCAGTCAAGGAAAGGGAGGGGGAGAGTCTGGGGGGCTCGAGCTGATCTTTCAGCTGCAATAGCCAGCTGCCTCTTTCTAATTTTAGAAGGGGTGTGCAAGAGTAGTATGGAGTGGAAAACTTTCCAAACCTCTCTCTTAAAGCTGCAATAACCAAGTTAGCACAAGATGAGATTGTGGCTCTTTCAACTTACTATCTGTTTCCATCCACCACTTTCAGTGCTTCGGCAGTGCTTGCTGTGGTTATCTCCGCTGCTTTGCAGTTTAGTGAGCAGTTCATGAAACTGGAGTGTGTTCCGTTCTTCCTTTTCTCTCAGCTGTGGCTGTTTGCAGGTAAACAGTTTCTTTATTTCTAATCTCAGAGAATTTCACAAGATGACTGCATTTTCTGTAAGAATCTCTCTCTTCTCTTTTCATGTGATGTTTTCCTGTCAGAGCTTTCCACTCATTGGTAGGGAATCTTTGAAAAAGTAATCAAGTTTTATAATTAAGTTCCATTGACAGATATAGAGAATAAATAGAAGCCATATAGAAGGAAAAACTAGACAAATACTGCCTTTTAATTTTACTTGACTGACTGAAAACAAATGATTTTCATGTTTGAGAAAATCCTAATGTGATGCCTTGTTTGCCTGCAGATGAAGAGGAGGAGCATGAAACTAGATTAACTGCTTCCAAGCAGAAAAGAGAAACTACGTTTAAAAGCATAATTAAAGAGGTAGTGCATTACAAAAGTGCTGAATAATTTAAACAGGCTGCCAATCCAGCAATATTAAGCAGTAAATTTAAGCAAACACTAGGTGATGATGGGGAATGTAATAATTTAATTTGCCCTAGTCTGTGATCAGAGCTCCCATACACTGCAGTAATATTGTTTTCATTGACTGAAATTGTCATTACTTACAGTCTTCTCCTACATTTGGGAGGAGCAGGTTTGCTCTCTGAGGACCCAGGAGGGGATTAGGCACTATTTAACACTTTTTCTCATTGGAGCTGTGCTCATCTTTTGGTGTTCTTGTATATTTTCCCTCATCTGGCAAAATAAAATTGTTTTCAAAGGTTTAACCACTGACATCTCAAGCTTACCTTGTTCAAAGGAGGTATGCTTAAGCTGGAAAATATACTCTCTAATTAGTTTGTGTATGTAAAAGAACCAAATTAAGGTTAAACGGGCATCCTGTAATTGTGACTTGATTAAGTTCTGTGTTGCCTAAG